GAGAGAGAGAGAGAGAGAGAGAGAGAGAGAGAGAGAGAGAGAGAGAGCAGGTAACAGAACTTATGAATGGAGGTGATAACAAATGGCAGATGTAGTTCATAAGATAGCATGGAATTGGGGGCTGGAGAGATGGCTCAGTGGTTAAGAGCACTGACTGCTCTTCCAGAAGACCCGGGTTCAATTCCCAGCACTCACATGGCAGCTCACAACTGTCTGAAGATCCAGTTGCAGGGGATCTGACACTTTCACACCGATGCACATAAAATAAAGTTAAATAAACCATAAAAATATATTTTAAAAGATAGCATGGAATTGAGAGAAGTTTATTGGGTAGGTAAAGAGTAGTTTGAAGATGCAGGCAAGAGAATGATTAATGGTGGTGAAGTCTTAGGGGAGATGGAAAGAGATCTATCTGGTGGGTGGCAAAATTGGAAGCCAGCATGAAGCCGTTCCCCAGATGTAAGTCAAGTAGACAATCATTAGGGAATGTATGTGTGGATGGATATAGAATGAACACAAGGAGAGGAGCAAAAGGAATTTGCATTTGTGACATGCCTGGTATGGATTGAATTCTTTTTTTGAAGTTGTCTATGCATTATTGCACTTTATCCTTATTGACCACGGCTTAGAAAGGCAGGTATGTTACAATTTCTTTTGTGTAATTCATTTTTTTATTTAAAAAAATCAAAGGGATATGGGCATTTTGGCACTTGCCATTAATCCCAGTACTCAGGAGGCAGAGACAGAAAGATCACTGAGTTTGAGGGCAGCCTAGCTTACAAAGCAAGTTAGGACATTTAGGGCTATCAAGAGAAATCCTGTCTCAAAAAAAATAAAAATAAATAAATAAAGTATCAGGGATCTGCAACATGGCTCATTGCTGACTAGCTTGGAGACCTGAATTTGGTCCCTGGAACCTACATAGTGAACGGAGAGAACGAACTCCCAAAAGTTGTCATTGGACCTCCATTTACATGCCATACATGTGCATACACACACACACACACACACACACACACACACACACACTAAATAAATATAGGGGGCTGAAGAGATGGCTCAGTGTTTAAACACACTGACTGCTCTTCCAGAGGACCTGGGTTCAATTCCCACCACCAACAGCTGTCTGTGACTGCAATTCCAGGGAACCAGACACTCATGACAAAACACTAATGCACATAAAATGAAAATAAATAAAATAGAAATAAATGTAAAAGCAAAACAAGACTAAAAATAGTAGATTGCTTCCTTTCACATTGATGCAGGAACTAGATCTCCAAGAAGAAGGTAAAGAATCACTCAGGATCCAATCCCTGGCAAACTAAGATTTGACTCAGGAGTTGACTCCAAGGTTCACATAAATTTTCTTTCCTATCACAATATGCTTGGGTCTCTTTCATAAACATACACTTATGTAGCTTCCTTTCTAAGAGTGCTCACATTCATCCTCGTTGGTGCTGCTCTTACATGAATTGATCCATGTTCTCTGAACATGATGTGAGAACAGTGTTAATAAACCCAAAGGCAGAGGCACTTGAGAGCCTTCCCTAGAACATTCTCAATGCCATCCTTGTGGTCATCACACCACTATGACCTAGGACTAGGCCTCCACATGCTGGCCCAGACGGTGGACATTGAGCTACTAAGGAGTTAAATAGTATCATGATGCTGGAAACATAAAATGTTATTTTATGGTATATAATTAAGAAGCTACAAAAAGTTTTTGAAAGGGGGTAGGTCATCAAGTCAAAGTAAGGTTCTTGGCTATCAACTGAGCCTTCCCTGAATGCTGGGTATTACTTTACAGCTAGAATGGAAGGCAAGCTTGTGTTGAAGAACCACGTCACTGTTCTCTGGCCTCCCATCAGGAAAGTTGAGCGACAGTTCTAGGCTCCTCTGAATTGACTCAGGAAGATCAGATGGGTCTTTGCCTTATTGTTTTATTAGAAATGCTGAGGTATTGGTTTTCAGGAAAGTGTCTCAACTTTTTTCCCATTTTTATACCACATAACCTCATACCCAACGAAACTTTTAGTTTTTTTTTGAAAAATTTAAATAGACATGGCATGATAAACCAACTTTCCTCCCATCCAACACTCTAGGTAAGTGATTTGACACTGAGATGCATTTCCCAGTCCTTCTAAAATTTTGTTTTGAGAATAAATCTTGGCTAGTTGTTCTCTTGACCCAGTTTGAAAGTAGCTGAACTACAGGTGTGTGTGTATGTGTGTGTGTGTGTGGAAGTAAGTTTGGCATACTTTTTTCCCTCATTGTTGAAGTTTAAATCCAGGTTCTTGGATATACTAGGCAAGCTCTCTACCACTGTTCAAAACTCTAATCTTGAGGTTTCTATCTATTCTGTGTTCAAAGTTTCTATCTTCTAAGACTATATACCTCTAACTTTTTGAAGTTTCTTCAAGTATCAATGGTATTCCATTGGTATATACCAAATTTCAATGGTATTCCAAGGAAGCCACTCAACTTCTTTGACAGATAAGAGTTAGTACCACTTTGTTCCTTCCTATTTGCAAGGTTTCTTTTGTGTTTTTTTGTGTGTGTTGTTGCTTTTTGTTTTGTTTTGTTTTGAGACAGTCTTGTTATGTAGCCCAGGGTAGCCTTTTGCTCAAGATTTTCCTGATTCAGTTCTCTCAAGTGCTGGAATCATAGTCCTATTTCACTACATCTGGCTCTGACACAGTTTAAAGGAGCAGTAAATACACAGGAAATATGTTTCAAATTAGCCAGTGGCAGATCAACTATCCACACTCTTCAGAGAAAACCTCTGCTTCTTTACTCTTCCACTTTTTATAATGATCCAGTGTACCCAGATTTTCTCCTAATTTTCTGGGCACACAACTATTTTCCATGTGCCTTTTAATTTTATTTTTCTCCTGAGGACACAACTTGTAGTCTTAACAGTTTTTGAAAAGTAAGTTCTACTAAGTTGCAGTATAACAGTAAGTCTGCAGGTAGAAATTTAATCTGAATTTGCTTGTCAAATTTCCACAGAAATTTTTTTTCCAGTTCTCTCCAACCACCCTGGCTTTTTCCTGATTGCCTCACATCCCCTTAAAATAGTGTCCCAGAGTCAGATGCATCTAATCCCTGACTTACATGGAGCAAAGTCTCATGGGAGTTTGCACAGCCAACTGTGGAAGAATAAAGGGCTCCTACACAAGATCTTCTGGCAACTCTCATGATCAACTTCTAAGTTCTGACTCTACTACCAGTGACTTTTGTTTAGTATTCCTTCATGGTCATTTTGTTACATTGTCTGGGTGGGACAGGAAGGTGAGGAAGTTCCAGGTTAAAATTGTGATCAGAAGAATGGCTGGAAAAACCTTATGAAGGCAACCATACCAAGAATAGTATATAGGCTTGGGTAAAAGATAGCAAGTGAGGGAGTAACAATAGAAGCAATCCTTCTCCGTGTTAGTAGAATTCCCATCTACTG